AACAACAAAGCTTAAGAAAACAACAAAGGTTACGAAGAATATCAAGAAAGAAATTAATATATGAGACTAGATCAACATTGGCTGTAAAGGATATTAGCACAGAATATTATAACTCATCTATGCTGCCACATATTGACATGAATGGAAGAATCAATGATCTGATGCATTATCATAAAAAAAAGCTACTTGTCAGCTTAGAATAATCTGATGCTAACAATTCCAACAGTACCTTTGAGAAGGAGCAGCTTAATATAAGAGATGTCAGTGAAACACTGGAAAGAAGAGTTGAACCATTAATGAACACTTCAAATCATCTATAGAAAAGCAAGCTTGAATGACCTCAAAAGCAATTCAGAATTGAGCACAAAGATGATGCATAAACTTATTTGGATGATGCTTTATCCTCACTGTAATATACTATTTCAGAGAAGATCAATCTACAATTATTTCTAGAAGACTTTAGAGACCCTTTGCTATCTCCCGTTACAAACCTCCCAACTCCAGGAAGCATTCAACTGCAAGATGAATCTGCTAAGTAAAAATTTCTTGATCAAAAATAACAAAATCAGGCAGTGAATCATCTCAGTTTTATGACCATCAGATTATAACTCTTTTGGTTTTATCATTAATGAATTGAAACTACAATTTTAAGAAATACTGTCAATTTTCAACCAAAAATATCACCTGCCTTTCTTAAATCAGTAACTAATATTCATATCATTCAGGTGGGGATATCTAAAACCTCATGGATATGTCAAAATTTCTGCTAGTCTCCTTATACTCTGCCTCAATGATATATAATAAACTACTTGCTGATTATGGCACCAAATACACCCTTGAAAACCTCCTTTCTAGTGTTCTTGGTTTTTGGTTGTTCCCAAACATCCAGCATTTAGTCAGCCACTTCTCATAAATTGAGCTATCAAGAAACAAAGGTTTTATTGATCAGTTGAACATTCTCCTAAGTCCCATATGCTGCGACACTGATCAGAACCTATGTAACTCGGGATAAAAGAGGACACTAAAATATGTTATCAGATGCATATCCATTTATTATATTAATTGTGAATGAAACATGGCGATTCAAACAGTAAGACTAATAATACCCATGTGGTCTTAAGTTGCAAGTCTCTAATAATTGATATATCAACCAGCTATGTCATATGACTATGCATATCCCATAGTGTAATAAATATTCAAACACCAAAGCAGTTGCTAACAAGTACACTCCATACCACTCATCATCGGAAAGCCATCTAACTGTTCAACATGTTAGTTGGTTCATTTTAGCTGTTTCTAAACATCCAACAGCTATGAAAAGCCTATCATTCTTATAATGAATAAGAAAATAGAAGGCTTTATCAACATAACATGAATCAGGACCTACATAGTCAACAGTAAACAGAAACACAGTTAACGACAGCAATTTACAAGCAATAAGGTGCTTTATTGAAAATTGAAGCATAGTCCTAACCAGGCATATATTAATTTTATTAACATTAAGCAAAACAGAGACTGTACCATTGATCAGTATACAGCACCATACAAACAACATGAGAACTTGGATTATACAAAGACAATTAGTCCTATATTGCAAATATTACTACCCATGTCTTAGGTTTGCTAGTTTTTAAAGGTTGAGATATCAAACAATCAGAATTGGAAGCAAGCTTCTCCTATCTGTAATAATTGTACAGGATGAAAGATTTATAGATCACCAACTTTCATTTCATTAGTTAAATCTTAAGAAGCATAATACAGTCATAAAGCAAGAACCATGAAACTCTATTTCAGTTAATTACCGCTTGGTTTTTGCATCTCTATCAGTGATCTATTTATCAAGTGATTATCAATTTTCACTGATATAATTATAATCCATGTCCATAGAATCATGGGAAATAAGAAAGAACATCAACATAAAGCATTCTCTCTTTCTCCCCTGAGCTCTATTTTCTTGTTGGAAAGCTCACTTTCTTGTTTACTCCAAGAAACAGGTATAAAAAAGGTAAACCCATCGACCATCACATTGCTACTCTCTTGTTTTGTAGGTTGGCCTCTGGCTAATGTGGTCAGATATCAATGTATCCTTCGTGCTTTTACTTGGCTTTTACATAATCCGACATATCCTTCACTATCAACAAGGTTAGTTGATTAATCTCCTACACGAAAACACTGGTTATCAGTACGCCAAATTGAACCCATGCTCCCTATTTTCATCTCTCCTCCATTTCCTAAATTTCATTTATATTGCAGACTGGACCAGATATTTGCATGCTTGTCATTCCACCTACTGCTATTATATGGATCTTGGACAATCTCTCATTTCTTAGTGTTTGAAAATGCAACACATCGATGATCATCAATTGAGCCTGACAAAAGCTGTCTGAAATGTATGTCAAAGAGTGCATGTACCATACAGACTCGTGCCTGACAAAAGTTTTCATTTGTTTCTTCATCCTCCAGTATATTCTATCCAGATTTTTCAATGCTTAAAAAGCATTGAGGTTAGTTTATATTGTATGATCTAGGTTAACTGCATACATCATTTAGTCACCAAATCATCCAATAAAATACAAAGTTCTAGTTGAAATTTATGTAAATGATAATACAAGACAAACCATAATGCCATTTGGTTTATGATATTGAAAAAAATGATGTAAAACCAAACCGAACCACTGAGGACACTGTAAGAAACAATCATCTTAAGATTAGACATACAAAGAAAAAAGAATAATAGAACTGCCTGCATGCTGCCACATCAGTTGGCACATAATGTATAAATGGCTGTTATGGTTTTCTCACTCATAATAGAACTCTTATCTAGGAGTCCGTAAATAACAAATTTTAAACAGGCTGCCTGTTACTCCCACAGATTTAGTCACAAACTTGAATCATGCAATTAGCCAAATGCTTGCTCAATACTAAGAGTTGACACGATGGGGTTCATTCTCCTTATTTTTTGTTAATGTAAGAATCAAATTACAAAAGCTTTAATAATAAATTGAACATGTTATTTTTACTGTCTAGAGATATTTTCAATATTATATTATGCGGAACATAAATCTGTTACGATTTGTCCTTAAAGATTAAATTGCAAAAAAACATGCTTGTGTGCTGCAGACATGAATTGTCATGCTCAAGAATCAGAATGAATGAGACTCAGAAGTGATTTGATTGAAGAATATCTAAAACAAACCAATTCACAAACTGTGAATGACATTTTCTTTTAAATTAAGAAAAAAGTTGTACTTTAAGGGGGTGTATAAACTAAGGTAATTTACTAGTTGATATAATAAACCATGCTACTGTACTCAATGTCAAGGCATGTCAGTCTCAAAATGTGTTCAAAGCTTATCGACCAACATGTTATAATACACTACTGAAATCAGTTCAAAAGATGCATAAATCTGTCACTAAATTCCTGTGGCAATTACTAAAATATAGGATAGTCATCTCGTATCGAGCATATTATACTTTGAGTGAAAAAGAAATCCAACAAAAAAGATCAGAGAACAGAGAGAGGAAAGAGAAAGAGAGATCAGTGTGCCAGTTGCCTATCATGATGTGGCAACTAGGATGGAAGGGAACCATATTGCTATCCTTGGGCTACTCAAGATGCATTATGGGGCTAATAAGCCTAGCCTTGCAGGTTATGGGGTTCAGAAGACAAGTCAAAGGCAAAATCTTCATATGCAAAGTCATCACCTCGTCGGCCATACCTTTGGCCCATGATATCTTCAATCATGAAGTAGATATTCTTTAACTTGTTTTGATATTAAATTCATAGGATAGACACCTTCACTGGACTCCTTTTCTTAAAATATATATCTTCAAAGGGAAATTAAAGAGGAAAGCAAAAAAAGAGAGAAGAAAGAGATTAGGGAATGAAAAAGATTATTCTCTGAAATATTCCTGATTTTAGAAATATTTATTGGCCACCAACGCCCAGACTATAAATAGGAGTCTTTCCTAAATTAAAAACACTTGGCAAATTTCATCTCAGACATCTTACTATATTTGGCATTCAATATCTCTTAAGCCCAGAACTTCAGAAAGCTACAACGGTTGAATTTTTGCAGATAATTTCAAGAGCCAAGACTTCGCTATGGAAAGTAGTCTTTCATAGTTCAAGATCACTCTTATACATGATAGTCTCCACACCCTCTTATGTGTATGTCTGAAGAGTCATAAAGTTTACCACAGAAGACCCACATTTTCTGATGTAAGTTAAAGAAAATTATTGAAATTCCCAATTCTTTTCACATTAAAGTATAGTTTCCTCTGCATGTTTAGTTCTGTTCATCATCGCTTATTTAAAATACAATTGTGTATTTCAAGAAGACTTGAGAAGTAATGTCTACTCTAACTCATGTATTTGTTCACTTTTGCAAATAGAAGAAAGAAGTCCACTTAATTACTATGACCTAATCAAAACATAAAGAATTATTTTAAAAGCAATGAAGCATAAGATATGGTCAGCATACTGATGCTAACTAGGGTTCCTTACAATCTGATAACTCACAGTTCCACTTTAATATTTTCTTTTGCAAAGATAAAAAATTGCCATCCAGTAATCATATGATTCTTCTCTTTCTATGGTTCTTTAAATTTTTATTATGAAGAAACACACATATAAGAGTAGGCAAACCATGTCTCTGTGTCCTAAGTCACAAATCACAGCAATTCGGTGGGTTTTCATCAGCAATAGTGTGTGGACTACTAACCCAAGACAGAACATTTCTAGTGCACACCATCACATGTCGGCAAGATTCTTCTATACATATATGTACATTTAGACTATTAAATTTTCTCATGTATGTTACAGCTTGATATGATAAATAGATCACCTTAAGGTCGATGCAGGATTGCCTTATATGCACACATTAGAATAAAAAAAATTCTCAATGCAAGCAAACTTTCAAGCTTTACATATCTGGATATGCTCAGTGATGAAATGGGCTGCAAGTCAAGTAGTGTTAGCAGAACTAACCAATATTAAGTTTAAAATATTGCACTGGTAAGATTGGTATATACAAACATGATACAATGTGAACAAAATTTAGTAGAGCATGCATTTGGTTATGATTGCACCTCAGCAACAGATTCTAAGTCCATTACTCTGGCCTCAATCGCAGTAATTTCTTCCTTTAGAACTTTAATCTGCATTTCAAGTTCTGATTCCTCTGCTTTCATCATAATGCGTTTCTCCAATGCTTGTTCCAATTTCAGTTTTGCCTCTTGTGAAGTAATATTCATTCCAGGTTGCCTAAGGACTACATAGTCATAAGCAGATCCCCAACCATTTCTTTGATCAAAATCTTCCATCATTACCTTGTACTCATTCTCCAATGAAGTACTTATAGTAGCTTCACATATTTCTGATTTGATAGATTGAGAAGCCACCGGATCGTGTGTTTCTTTCCCTACACAATTGTTAGAAGGTTTCAGGCCCATATGTTCCTTTTGCTTCATGGAACAAATATGCTGCTTTTCTGTCTCAGCAGCGCTCAGTTGAAAGTTCTGTGATTCTACACTGTCATCATCACCAGAAACAGAATTGTTTCCGGAAAGAAGATGATCAGAAATCATGGCATCATAAAACTCTTGCAATTTTCTCTTCTTTATGCTTGTCAAAGTTTGGATTCTCTTCATGTTTTTTTCTGCCACTACCTTGCTCTGCCACTTGATATTTTCCAAGGAACCTTGTGTTTGTGTATCATTTTCCACTAACTTACTATAATAAGGCATGCATTGTTTCCACCAAATCGAGTACTGCTGTGTGATATCAGACTTAAAAGGTGGTGCCGGGACGTAAAATGCAATATTTTTCGAAGTAATATCATAAGTCTCCCATGCAGCTTCCCACATTGCATTCGAACGAGGAACATGGCAGGGCAAGTCCTGATCAAATCCAAACTGCATTGCCACACGGTGAGGCAAATACTGTTCGATACAGTCTACTCCTACAAGCTCAGCAGCCCTCAAGCACTGTGCAAATGATCGCAACTCTTCATCCTTGGATGCATCACCACAAATCCACACACCAATATCCTTATAGAAAGAGGGCCTGCTCCAATTCTCCAACCTAGCCATATACGGGTGCCACTGAAATTCAGATGACTCCAAAGCCGAACCAACAAAGGAGAGGTCCAATTTTCTACCCACATCATGCCACCGTGCCGCTCTTGGCTCACCATTAGCAATCAAATTTTGCTTCTCTGGCCTCAGAGTCAAGAAATGCTCCCACACCCAAAGCTGTAACAAATTGAAAGGTGCCCATACAACCAAAGGTTCAGTTTTTTTACTATCATCAGCAACAAGGTAATCCTTGATGGCCGACATGTCTCGGTACAAGCTAGCCAGGACTGCAGATGCAAGGGCAATCCTCATTCCTCGTCCCAAACGAACAGCAATAGGAAGCAAGTGCTGCTTCACGGTCTTAACAGGGGGGCCAGGAAAAACGAACCGCGACAACCACAAAGCCAAGAATGCAATGTGCTCCAATTCATCGCCCTCACGCTCCATGTAATGTTTCATCCACGCACTTTGATCTGCTTTCTTGCTGGTGCTTCGGTTAAACGTCCGATGCTCCTTCACCATCTTCTGTTCGATCTCCACAAGCTCCCCGGTCAAAGAACCCCTGACAGGCTCACCGAGCACCGGAAATCCACCTAGAACCATCGTGTCTTCTAATGTAACAGTGGCCTCCCCCCAAGGGAAGAGAAACGTGTTGGTCTCTCCGCACCAAACCCCAGCCAGCCCCAAAACGGACGCGTAGTCTTTCTTGATCTTGTAAGTAGACACGCCAATGGCATCCAAGATGCCGGACTTGTTCCAAAGATCCCCATAGATGGGCCGAAGCTTATCGACCCACTCCCCCCACTTGCGCAAAGGGCTGCCCCATCCTCTGAACAGCACCTTGGACTCCCGGAGATGAACGGGGGAGGCATTTACATGCATCATCGGAGCGAAGGGATACCGGGGGAGCTCTTCGACGGGGACGGGATTGGCATCAAGAAACCAAGCGACTCTCTTGATCGGAATCAGGGGATCGGACGAGGAGACCATCTCCGCCTCTCTTTCTACCACCAAGAAGATCTCTTCCTCCTGCTGTTCATCCATCGAACGACAACAAGCGGATCTGAAGGGAAGAAGAAGAGATCTAAAGGGATTGCGAAGTGGGGGGTGGAGAGGGTTTTAGGGAGATGAGGGGGTGGGTTTTAGTGGAGCCGAAGAGTTCTGCTGGTGACCAACTTTGGTCGTTGGGAGGGTTGCGGAGATCGCCACTTGCCGTGCGGAGGCGTTTCGATCTTCGCTGTCACGGTTGTCGTGATAAGGAGATACATAATCTTTGCACCTCACTGTGCTTTGCGCCTTTCGAGATCTCCACAACAAATCTACTTTATAAGGACGATAAGGCGTCAATGATTCTTTTGAGATCATTTACTGCAATCCGTCGTCAGTGGGATCGTCGAAGAGGGCCGCAGAAAAGCCTCTCCGGCCTCGGCCTCGGCCCAGTCACAGGCCCAGTATAATGACGACGATCGTCACCATTTGGAATTTGCATTCGCTATTCTCCTCCTTTTTAAAGCAGAATTTGGATAAGCTCTAAAAAGGAAGAAGAAAAAGCCAATAATAAAAACAAAATCAAACCTATTGGAAAGATGATCGTTAACTGGTCCGATTCAATTATCGGATATGATGTGTTGAAAAAGGGGAATAAACCAATCCGATTATATAAAATGAATTCTGTTTTGTAATACGAGAAAGATTACTTAAATATCTAAATTTAAATCTTTTTTTATTATTTGTTTAAGAGGTCAATCATGAAACTATGATAGATGTGATTAAAACTAAGTTTAGTATAATTACCACCAATTTTACGTTTATAGTGTTGGTTGATATATATTATGTTTAAATTAGTTTTAATGTTTTTATATACTTGCTATATATAATTTTAAATTATTTAGCATATTTTAAATATACTAGTGATCCAAGGCTTAATAGGGATCTTTCATGATTTGATACTTGTTAGGAAAAAATATCATTGACATATTGATCAATCAAGATTCTTTCTAGGTGAAAACATCGAGCTTCTTATGTGTCAAATGTACAAAAAATCGAGATTAAAAGTGATTTTCTAACTCGATCCTTCCGACACTTATGTTAGTAACCCGAAGTGTATGAATACGGACATGAGCAATCCAAAAAAGTTCTCTCCTTTTTCTCTGTGTTAAAAGTGATATTTTATACTAGATGTATCCCCTATCAATACAGATAATATGATAGTAATGTATCAAATAATTAGCCGACGATGTATTCCTTATGAATACATACAAGTATGATGGAAAGCAGGTTTATATCTTATAATTTAACGTGCAACCAGAAGGACACCAAACTATAACGTGCATAAGTCATGATATGTTATTGAATTAATGGCTCCACCATAGTCCATAACAGTGTTCGACAACCCCTTCAGGATGACATCTTTACGAATGACCTGATAACGTTTATTCTTGACGGCCTTCGTTCCCCCGAGACTCCTCTAAGCTGCAGAAGTCGGCGGAATCGTAAAACCTGAGGAGGAGGAAAGGGAGGAAATGAGAATTCACATGGCACCCGCTCACACTGTCGTAGGTCAGTAGAAAATGATCGACTTACTTCCACAGTGAGTACCATGGCGAAGCCGTTTCCCGCAGTAGCTGGCCACGAGCACAAGCTTCTTCACGTTGATCCTCTTGTGGCGAGAAGCAGTAATGTTCTTGCAGGCACATGAAAAGTCGGCTTTCTTTACCACCTTGCAGCAGTGTTTTGTGGGAATATCCACCGGTTTGCCGACCGCTACGTAGCGCGAGCACTGCGAAACCAGATCGTGCCAACCCTTGCACTTGGGACCTTTGTGATCTTTGGGACCTTTCTTGGGAGCTTTGTGGTCTTTGGGCTTGGCGAGGCTACCTGACATCAAATGCCCAGTGACGAGGAGTGCCAACAGCAAGCAAACCGTAGACAGCTTCGCCATCGTCGCACTTCTGCCGTTGTTAGTCGTTGTCTTGTTGATGATGGTTGACGATCTTATAGACAGTGAGAGGAATGAAGCTGTTCAATTGCCTTCAGAATTCTCGTTGCGAAGGCAAACAAATGCACCGGAAGCATGATCATGTCAGTTACACATGCAATGGAAGATGAAGTCCAGTGTTTGAAGCAATCACGAGAATGTCGTTCATGGAGTTGTGATGATCTTCTGCAAAGCTTAGATAACTACAAACTAAATTTCTTTCATATAGGGGTGTCCACCGTGCCGATAACACAAACCTACACTGTTACAAGCATTAGTATCACAGGCTGCAGCAAACGAACTACCGACATCCCTGCAAAACATGCAAGTCAAATGGAGCTTATGTAGCTGCCATCTTTATGAAATAACACAGTTGTACTATCTAAAGGCATCGTCTTAAGGTCTATAGTTTCATCCCAAGTTTACATGAGAAAAGAGGACAGGGCGGGAATCACCAAGTAGCCACACATGTAACTATCAATGGTAATTCGAGGTAGCGAAAGGATAAGTGCACCACCACCTTAAGGTCCTAATGGAAATGAATTTGGTGAACAAGAGTCCATATTTAGATAAATATGCAAAACAACTAGCAAGGCCTTTTACCAACAATTGCAAAGCCCTAGTAGTTACTAGAGGTCTTGCTTCGGATCATGGAAGATTAAACAATACCCAGCCTGCTATGTACATCAAGGAACACGCATTCTGGTCTCTGGAAGGCAACATATATAACTCAGTGGGAGATGTTCTGCTTTTCAGTGTTTTCCTTCGAAGCTCTCATGGCAGACACGAAACCGAGCATCTTGTTTAGTGCACTTATGTAGGCCCGAACACTCGAAACAACAACATCCATCGAAGCTCCACTTCCACTGAGGAAAATGATAAGGGGTGCTCATTCAACATGAAGAGGATCATTGATCGTAAGAAAGAAATCAATAGCATGCCTTCATAGTGCACCTAGAGATGAAAATGAGAACATGGAAAAAATAATTAAAACAAACAAAACCTGAAAGTCCGGCGCATAGTTTCTCCGGTTAACGCATGCATCGATGTATAGCTATCATCCCCACTTATGACTACTCTGGTGGTTGCAATTGCATCAATGCCTTCAGTTACGGCATTCATAGCATACTCCTTTAGAACTGCATGTACCTGCAGATGTAAAACACCGTTATGGTGTTATATAGATACATAACAAACAAGGCAGTGAGGTAGACTCTAATGGAGAAATCCGCAAGTCCACCATCCATAAAAGTAATCACCGTTATGATATTGTGTCTGACACTGCTGGTACTCAATAATTCGGCGGTTTGGGAGCTGGATTTAAAAATTATGGGATCAAATTATTGGCCCTTTTAGCTTCCATTTCAAAACATACTAAGGCCAAAGACTTGGGAATTATGCAAAATATATTGCAATGACAAAATAACATTGAATAAATGGCTCTAAGAAGCTTTCTCAATCAATCTATCCAACAATGCCCGAGTTCCAAGATGATAATTTCAATGTACATATGGACAGGTTGAGTCTTATTTTGTCTTCATATCCTTGTTATTTGTCAGCAGAAACAGATCACATGGAAAACATTATCTAAACCACTCCCTGCTTATCAGCTACCTGCCAGCCTCCTCTTTTCTCTCTCAGTACATATCCAGCAACTTTTTTCCCTGCACATACTCGATCACTGTTGGAATGGTGAAGGACATCAGGGAGGAACCCTGAGCTGTACTTCCGATCCAGCCAATCCACAAATTTCAGTAAAGAATCATACTAGTTACGGGGTATTTTGTTGATACTGACCCCCCCTTTTGGGGGTTCACACGATCTTGGAGGGAATTGGACTCCTGCTAGACCAGTAGGATTAACTCCGGGTACTAGGGATGCTTGGACCACAACCCTAGCTATTGAAAGAAAGGACTGCTACACAGTGTGTGCAAAGCATTGGTACTAGATTGACTAGATACAACTACGATCTGTCAAATTAAATAAATGGATTCAGAATCGACAAAAAATAACTTAAAATAAAAATATAAGAAGTATGATAGCAGAATCTTAGAACTTTAAAAAACTGAAATTTGAAAAGAAAATAACATTTATATGCTAAAAGGACATGAAATCAAAATGTAAGATAAACACCAATATGAACTATAACAATAGCAATAATAAAGAACATTTATTGTACATTTATTTAAAAATAAACATTAACCATATCATGAAAAAATATTTGCATAGTAATTATCATGGATTAAAATTATGGTCAAGCATAGATCATGATCTTTGGTTGGATCCTCATGGACCTAGGGTGGATACGCAAGAATGAAACCTATATCTATGTGGATCTGGCTTTGATCTATGCAAATATTTCCTAAATCTACACAAATCTAGGACAAATAAGTATGGATCTTTTGATCAGATACATTTGAATCTAGCCTAGATCTATGCAAGTCTCGATCATATCCAAACAAATCTCGACCATACCTGAGTTGATCCAACAAAGAATAAGGTAGAACTTCCAACTTTGCATTATTCTGGGTCCATTTCAACCCAGAAGTAAAAGAAGGAAATGACTTGATTTAGAACTCAAGCTTTTATGAAAACAATTAAATCATGTTCCTAAGAAAGAACATAGAACAAAACTTAAATCTTCAATAAATAACAACTAATTCTAAATTTAAGCTTCAGATTTATCTTTAAAGAAATACAATGAAGTTCAAGATTTAGAGGTTCGAAAGAGAAATTGTGGGAGATTGAGAAGTTTGAGAGAGATTGAGTGAAAGAAAGGAAAGAGCTAAATCTTTCAGGTGGAAGAAAAATGAGGGACAAAATCGAGTAAGCATATGCTTAGTGTCTGATAAGCTTGTGTTTACTGGTCAGCTATAACTCGATATCATAATTTGGAAAGCATACTGGGTGGTACAGGATAAAATGGATCAAGCCAAGAAAAATCACCTATTCTTCTTCTTGATATCCTATAAAACTGTTTAATAATGGATGGTTTTATTGAATCTCGGATTTTGATGATGAAACCATTTGATAGTGTTTGTGATCTAATGAGCGTTTTGAGTAACGCAAGGCTAACGTCGATCAAAAAAGATAAATTGATTAAAGCAGGAGGAATCGGACGTTGGACCGAAGCAAACATGTCAGAAGATTGGACGTTGGGCCGGACGAACGGTCGACGTATCGACAGAAGGCTTCGGGTCGTGAATTCGCAGAAAAAAAACGCTGCTGTAATCTTATGTGAACTCCTCTCAAACTCTATGTGTTAGTGAAGTTTAAGAGAGGAGGTTGTGGAGGTTGTAAAGGTTCTCTCCTAAACCTGTCAAAAGAAGAATCA